TTTTAACCAGAGTCAATTTTGAAAAATGTAGTATGGTTAGTTATTAGTGAGATTTTGAGTTTATATTAAAATAATATTTAAAATCAAATAACTAAAATTGATTTGATGTGTCTCCGTATCTTAATGCACTTATTTAATGTATTTGGAGTTCTTAGACTGAGATCCACTTTTCGGAGAAGATAAGTTGAAACAATAATAAGAATATTTCTAGTGGAACAACTTTCAGATATATGCTTCGCTACTTGACGGAGGGATAAGGTATCCCACTCCAGCTCATGAATGTCTGGAATCCAGATTATACAAGGGCATATTCGGTCATTCAGAAGTAGGGTCGATGTAATTGAGAAAATAGTCCCGCTAGGCAGAAGGTAGCCTACCCGTGCTTACTCTTCCTTCTACTACTTATCTGTACACTTCTTCCTACCTTCTTTTTGTGGTTGAACTTCACTTAAAGACATACTCTATTCTTCTATGACTTCACTTCTAAAGATGTAGTTGACCTAAATTTATAGAATATTGGATATAATTATAATTATATTTCAATTTAACTTTTCAAAAAGCTTTAATTTTTAATAGAAAATATAAAATTTTAAATATAAAATAATAATAATTTGGTAAAAATTTTTGAGAGAATTATTTTTAAACTACACTCTCTTGAGTAATAGTATACTAAAATTACCCAACGTTGCTGATTTTTATCTTACTAATATTACTACTTTTATGCAAATTAACTTTGTTCAGTTGTTGCAGTAACATTTCATAGCCAAGAAGCGTCATCTTCTCCACCAAAAACCCTAGGGAAGTGAAGATGACGGAGGTAGCAAGCGCGGTGGTGCATGATGTGCTTGGCCGCCGCGTGGATGACGTTGACCAGCCGATTGTTGATTACATCATCAATGTCCTCGCCGATGAGGATTTCGATTTCGGCGCCGACGGCGAAGGTGTCTTTGAAGCCCTTGGTGAGCTCCTTGTTGGCTCCGAGTGCGTCGCTGACTATTCTGAATGTCGCACGGTATAATAACACAGATCCTTCACTTGTCTATGTAGTTAATTTTCTAATGTGTATAGGGATATGGATGTTGTTTTTGTTTCTATTGAAGTGTTTGATTGAGATTCTGCGGTAATTGTTTGAAGTTCCGTATTGAATAAATCTTGTTCATCTCCAGTTGTGGCTTTTGGAGTTGTGTAAGGTTGGTCAGTAGACTTATTTTATTGTTTTCATTGTTAAGCTAAACTTTCGGATCAAATATTGAGTTGTGCTGTATAGAAATTTCAATATTTAGTTATAATTTTGTCCTGAAAACTATAAACTGAAGTGCACACATATGGGTCTGGGGATGGTTAAGGTTAAGAAGTTTTGGGTACTTATTTGCAAGTAGAATACTGCATT